AGTGTTGAATTGTTGCTGAGTAATTTTTTTTAGGAATATATGGGTGGTTGACCCATTAATCTTTAAATATGGAAGTTTATACAGAAGTGTTGGATTGTTTTGTTTATAATATATAGAAGTTTGGATTCTTATGCTGAATGTAGTTTTGTTAGAGGGACGGGCGGTCCCATTTGTTCTTGTATGGAAGGGTGTTAATATAGAAGTGTTTGTTTTGTTTATAACCATGCTAGTTTTGAGTTATTTTAAAAGTGGAGAGGTTATGTTGAAATTTGTACTTTTGATTATTTGTTTTTTGAGTTTAAGGTTAGTTTTACTTGCCTATTAGTTTTTGAGTTTCAATAATATTGAGAATTATTTTGTGAGAATAGGTTGGAAGAAGACATATTGGTTGGTTAGTTTTGAGTTATATTCTAAATTGGAGAGGTCATGATGAAATTTGTACTTACTTTTGATTGTTTGTGTTTTTGTTAAGCTTTTATAGAATAGGTTGGAAGGGACAGATATATTGTTGGCTAGTTTTGAGTTATTCTAAAAGTGGAGAGGTTATGTTGAAATTTGTACTTTTGATTATTTGTGTTTTGAGTCTAAGGTTAGTTTTTGAGTTAAATTTTATAATAGATATTGTTTTATAATGGATGAATGTGTTAAAATTTTAGTTGTATATTGAGATATTATCATAGGTTTGAAGGAAATATATATAGTTGGTTAGCCACGTCTGGGCAACCAAATATTTTTTTAATTAATTTATTCACAAAATAACGACGGTCAATGCCTGTCACGAAATATAGTCATTCCATGACGAAGAGACGATGGCGTACAAACAATGACGCACATACAATGTCGGTTGTCACCCGTCATGGTTATCATTTCATGACGGGCATGTCCGTCATGAAAAACGCTATACATGACGGGCGCTGCCCGACCTTAAAATATTCCTTTCATGACGGCCATGTCCAGATGGAAAGAGAATATACATGACGGGCAATGTCCGACCTTAAAACTGTCCGACATGAAAGGGAAACAAGGACACTCGTATAGATGTCGGTCAGTGACCGACATGGGCAATGCCCATCATGAAAAGGCAAATTTGTTGTAGTGGGTCACTATCTTGTAAAGGTCATCTCCACTGTGTCGACTTCAGACATTATCTAAGAAGGTCTTAAGGCACTCGAGAGGTAAGAGTGGTCTTAAGACACTCAGTCTTTGATCATCTAGCAATAAACCTCCTTTCTAAATAGTCATTTGAAGCTAATTATTAACTTGGATTATAAACTGGACTAAGTATATTAAATCCAATTCGTGACCCGATTAAAAAATTATAAGGGATACGTCTTCTATCATCTTATTCATTACAGCCCTCTTAACTTTTATCCTAGAGATCTTTAGTGTCTTTATCATCCTTACCATATTTTCTGTAACAAATACAGAAAAAATAAATCACGAAGGTGATTATGACACACACAAAATTAAGAGAAAATCAGAAACAAAATAAAAACAAATTGTTTTTAACCAATAAAACAGAATGACATATAAAAATTAGGTGATTTACAAAGGTGATAGGGGGCATATTTTCCAAGTGAGAGGGTAAGAGATCAAATCTCATATAAAGCATATCCTTTATAATTTTATTTATGTGAAACAAATCCATATTAGACTAGAATCAACCGGACAAGTTAACTGCTCCTCTATTTCAAATTCAGAAAATATAACAAATGGATAGGAATATTGTACTTTTGAAAAAATAATTTGCATTTTTCACTCCGTTCACGATGTTAACTTGGCCGTCCACATGGGAAAAAACATTCTGTGTGTAAAATATATTGTTTGTCAAAATAGAGAGGTAGAAAATTACTCTGCTCCTATAAATTTACATAGATTCATTTATCAATTCCCCATAATTAACGGGAAGAATCAAAATCTCTTCTGTTCCTGTAAACTACAAAGATTCAGTTTATCAATTCACCATAATTAAAGGGAAGAGTCTTTGAGATCGATCTAATCTTCCAAATGTAGATTTTGCAGAAAATTCCTTCGAGATAATAGCTTCGAAATGTAGAGAGAAAATGTAATAAATGGTTTTTGGGGAGCTCTAAGAGAGTGTTGTACAGGATATATTGATCCCAAAAAGGGGAGCGACGTCGTAGAGAGAAAATAGAAGAAAATCAAGGAAGAAAAGTGTTATGACATTGGAAGAAAACTCAACAAGAAACATGGAGAAAGACTTCTACCCACGTAATATTTCAAAGACTCCTATCGTTTTTCTTTCATTCTTCTTTTCCCATTCTCTGAATACATGGTGGGCTATAACTTCTTCCTCTTCTTCTTTGATTTTACAATTAATACGAGCTAAACCCATTTGCGGGGTTATAAACTTTTGACTAAAGTCTGAGCTTCATCCTAATGTTCCTGCAGATTGATTAGTTCTATTAGATTTTGAAAGAATTTGGTAGGGATATATGAAAGGCTTTAATTTATACTACATCTAGTGTCTTCGGTGCTTATATTAGCTGGGGATAGGAGGCTCACCTATTATAGCTCTATATGAACTGTGTTACAACTCGTTTATTCAAATGATAGTTTGGTTAATGTAAAATCTAGGTTAATCTGGTAAGGTACCAAGTTTAATTTGTTTGGCCGGAAACCTTAGAAACTTCAATGTTGGAGCATCGGTTAGTAACAATATAGTAAAAGGACATAACACATCACTGTTTTGTCTCGATTGCAACTCGTTTTAGTACTATTTTAACTTATTGTTTTGGATTGCATTTTATGTTTAATTTGCTAGTGAATTTTGAACAAAATATATATATTTGTTTGGTTATCCATTTTTAAGTCAAATTTAGAGCAATCTAGTTACAACAATTACCGTGGAAGTTTGGAGACAACTTTTGATCACTTGCTGCAACTTCTCATTGTGTCGTACTTGCACTTAGGCTGTATCTTTTATCTAGGATAATATTATTGACAAATTTACATTAGATCTAAATAAAATTTTGAAAAAGCCAATATATTTTAAAACAACTAATACTCAAAAGTAAATAATAAAAAGGAAAACTTAAACAAATTCAAATTCCACCAATTGATTTAGTACAATAAATAATTTTAATTTAATCAATAATTTGAAAGTAGATTTAAAATTAACTTTACATCCAAGTAGGAAAAGCCGGAAGAATGATAAGAAAATAATAATAATAAATTCACATTTAAAAAATCTATCAGCTAAATATTTCTAGTTAAATCACGGATCAACTTAAAATTTTAAAGTGGAGGATAAATTTAATCAATTAAAAAATCTTTTAGTCCTTAATGTTTTCATATTTTTTTCTCTAAGTCCACAATTATTTAACAAAGATTTTAGCTTAGTTTGTAATATTTTAACAATGGCATAGTTACACCCTTTCATGAGTGAATATAATTATAACTCGCTTGCATACGATGTGATACTTATTGATAAAAATGTAAGAGGAAGAATTATATCGTCTTTGATTGAAAAATTTCTAATTCTTCGTCTAAAATTTCTAAAAAGTTAGCAAAAATTTCAACCTTGGAAGTCTTAATATACCTCCTCCAATTTTTTTACATCTCCAAATATCATGTTATAAAAACTTATAACCAGTCAATTTTCATATTTACTGATAATAAAGATATAATGGATTAAAAATGTTAAAACATAAGAAAGTAAATTAAAATTTCTTAAAATATTATAAACTTTGTAAAAGAAGACAAATATTAAGTACTAAAACATATATTTAGCGTATAATTAACTCAATACACTTGTTTAAATGAATTGAATAGTGGTATTTATTTTGAAGCGGATAAAATAAAAAATCGAGAAACGTATATATCAAATGGCTGGGACTTCTTAATTTTGCATCCCTAAACATATTTTTTGACCTATTGCATGCCAAATGCAATTTTTAAAACTAAATGCTATTTAATCATTTCGATTAAACTCAAACTACTTGTCTAACTTCAACATAACTCAACTAGTTAAACAAATCTCCGATTAAAAAGTCTGTGAATTCGAAGCTCCCTCCCACATGTTGTACTAAAAAATAAATCAGACTACTTAAATTTAGGCTTGCGAAATTGAACCCGAGCCCCGCACCCAAGCTTCTTGACACGAGTATCTCAAGGAAAAGAAAACAATGATTCATCCCTTCACCTTTAACCTAAAAGATTAAATATATGCAGAATTTATATTTTCTAATCATTTTTGGATATCCAAGCAAACCAAACAAAAGTAACCATGCAATCATGCATGTAAACAACGTAAGACAAAGCATAGATATATAATCGGCCATCCTACGTTTTATAACCATAAATATTTCCTTAACAAAGAACAAGAGAAGCCATGGGAAATGAAGTTTGAAGCTTTTTTTTTCTTCTTAATTTCTTTTGGAAAAAAAATTAAAAAAAATCACCAATATTACAATTTTTGTTTCAAAATCCAGACATGATTCTGCTACACCTGGTTTTGAACCACTTGATCCCTTTCTTTATGGAATTCTTCACCTTCCCTTCCACTGTATACAACTTGTACTTAGCCACGCGCCGCCGTCTCTTCATCTCCGGGTTCTTCCACCACGACTTCACCGAACTTTTCGACGATTCCGATGGTTTCTTGATCGCTTGTCGCTTCGTAGACGGCGAGGGATCGACAGCGGCTCGTGAGCGTGATTGGCTTAAGGACAGCTTGTTTTCACTTAGATTTCTCACGTCTATGATTTCCAGGCTCCGGCCACCCTTCTTCGGACGGCGGTGGATCCCTTCCATCGTCCCCGTCGTCCTGCTCGTCTTCTTCTTTCTCTCCCTCTTCCTGTGAAAAAGAATATGGCGTTTTGGCTTGGTTTCTAAAGGTTTTGAGGAAGATAGGGAAATGTGTGTTGAAATGAGAAGAGAGGCGTAATTATGGGGTTTCTTGTTCATATATATAATTTTTCTTGAGGCTTCTAATTTTCCTATCAGGTTATTGTTGGCTTTGCTAATTATGGTAAAAAATGAAAGGTTGTCAAAATTTTATATGTTGGAAGGAATTTTTATTTTTGGTAACAATGAGTTTTTGGGTTGCTAATACACATTCAAAGAATGCCATTCTCATGTTCTTGCATTTTTAAATCAAAAGATTGAGTTCTACTATTTGCTCTTCTGTCCATTATTGCCTCTTTCATTCACTCTTTCAAATTTAATTTTGAGATCACTAGACTTTAGAGTGGGGTCTAATTTATAGTTAAAAAAATGTTAAAATACTATGAGTTTATGATGATTCATACGTACTTCCAACTTCAATTTTAGTTCATTTTAGTTTTGGTACCTTTTTAGAGATGTTTGTTTTAATCACTTTCAACTTCAACTTTAGTTCATTTTAGTTTTGATACCTTTTTAGAAATGTTTGTTTTAATCACTGTACTTTTAAAAATGGACCATTTTAATCACTTAATTTTATTTTTTCTATCACAATTTCAACACGACAATATATTTCTTGAAATATACTCATGAATTTATGTTAGAAGATTTTCATTATATATAGAATTTGTGTTTAAATTTTGAAAATAGAGACAAAAATGGTCGTTTTTTAAAAGTACAAGAACCAAAATGAATATTTTAAAAGTATAGACAACAAAATGAATATTTTGAATTATTTTCCTTTAGTCTTCCTCGCGTTTCTCCTAAAAATAAAGGTGTTAGAATTTGGTATTAGCATCCTTGAGAAGAAGAAAATTTAAGATTAGAAGAGTTGGGAGCAACATATTATATGGGTTTTGGAGGTGGAGAAATAAGGAAAACAAATTACAGTTCCTTATAGAGAGATGAGACTTAAAATTAACTTGTAAAATCACCCAAAGTATGGCAAAAGTAGTTTCTAATTATTTTTAAATTAAGATATCATAGATCCATAGTGAATTCCATAATAATGTAGGTCTAGAATTCAACAAGTTTTTTATTTATTTTATTCTTAAACTTTCAAAAAAATTTCACTAAATTGTGACATGAGATAGAATTGGACAAAATACAATGTCCTATACAACATCATTTCTTTAGAACAATATATCAAATTTCTTTAATAAACAATGTCACTTTATTTTATTCAATTGTTCGCTTTTATCTGTTCTTCATATAGTCTCAAATCTATCAATATTTTATGAAACATACATGTCACATCGTGTTACTTAATCATTTAAGATCATAATCTAACTCAAACTTTTAAAGATGTGACGATTAAATAAACACGAGACTTGCCTCAATTCAAACCGCCCCAAAGGAGGAAACATGAGGCCAATCTCAACCTCAACCATCTGCGTCTCTATCTTCAATCCACCAAACAAAAGGGTTAAGAAATTTGTGGTACCAAAACACAGAACTTTAATGGAGGTTCAAAGGCAGAAATAGTTCCACGTAGTCTCAAAAATATTCCACAAAGAAACCATAGTTTTACCTTCAGAGAATCCATTTAGAATAAACCTCAATTTGTTCTCCTTTTCTCTCCACAGATTCAGTGTGCTTTCTTCTTGGCCACTATTTCAACTCAAGATTTCAATATTTTGCCATTCATCACGCTTCTGGATTGCTTTCTTCCTTCTTCCTTCCCTTCCAATGTCAATCTTAGCTCAGAACAAGTTCCTTCTGAGCTCCCGAACCCGTGTTAACCCGTTGAGCCCTCCGATTCCACGTAAAATTGTCTACTGTGTAGCCAACACAGTCGACGTCGCTGCTGCTGGTGCCACCACCACCAAACCCAAGCATGCCGATGGCCAACTAGTCATTAAACGCGAGTTTGTCTCTCCTCCACTCACATTGGGCAAAGCCTCAACCTATCATTATGTTCTTAATGACCCAAGTTTACGATCGACTTGGGGCCATCGTGCGTGGGTGGCGAGTGGGTGCACCACAGTGCTCATTTCTTTGGCAAAATCAATAGTAGGTGCAGCCAGTTCACACATCTGGCTTGAGCCTACTTTAGCAGCATTGGTAGGTTACATTCTAGCAGACCTTGGATCTGGAGTTTACCATTGGGGCATTGATAACTATGGCGATGCCTCGACTCCAATCTTCGGTACCCAGATAGAAGCATTCCAAGGCCACCATAAGTGGCCATGGACAATCACGAAGCGTCAGTTTGCCAACAACTTGTATGCATTGGCACGAGCTGTGACATTCGTTGTGCTTCCCATAAACCTTGCATTTGGTGATCCCATTCTACATGGTTTTGTTAGTGTATGCTCAGGTTGCATAATGTTTAGCCAACAGTTTCATGCATGGGCTCATGATAAAAAGAGCCAACTACCACCACTCGTGGTAGCAATGCAAGATGCTGGCCTGCTCGTGTCACGAATGCAACATTCCGCACATCATCGTCCACCCTATAACAACAACTATTGTATTGTAAGTGGAATATGGAATCAGCTTTTGGATGAAACAAAGGTTTTCGAGGCATTTGAGATGATCTTGTTTTTCAAGCTCGGGGTAAGACCAAGATCTTGGAGTGAGCCTAACACTGAATGGACCGAAGAGACTGAAACTGTAGAACAAACTACAGCCAGTTGACCACATTCTTCTGTCATTCATATTATGGTTTTCCTTGCAGAATGGAAGGAAACAAAATTGTTGATTTGAAACAGTTTCACATGTAAACTATATATGATGAATTGTGTTATTTGCAGAAGTGTTTTTCCTTTATGCATTTTCCATCATTGTTCAAGTAGAATAAAGAAATAAAACAAAGGGGAAAATGAAAAACAACAGTATTGATACAAAAAGCAAAGGATACATTGCTTCGTCATTCTATCGTGCACCATATACCACAGTGCTTGTTTTGTTAAAAAGTATCATGTCAGGCATCAGTACTGAGAGAAGATGAGATAGGAGAAACACAAGGAAACCAATATCGACGCCTACCGTCACGGTGGCCATCATCAATCATCGCAAGACCTTCCTGTAGAAGTGAAGCATCTATTTCAAACACAGTAGCTAACCATGCTACATGGGAGAAGAGAAATGTGAGATAAAACTTACATCCAGGAGAGTTTCGAGGGCATCAACTGCACGACCAGACGTCCATGAAAGCCGTCTCTCTACCTCATCCACAGTTACAAAGCCTTGAACCTGAGAGTACAGTTTGTGATATGACCATTAGTCTCTTTGTGACCAAAGCCTAAAAGCAAATACATCGCAGAAACGACTGAATGAGAAAGTAACCTGGGCAAGCTCAAGAATTTCATTATGGTCTTTGTTCAACTCGGTCGGAACAGACCGAACAAGTTTTTTCTTGCCAACGGTAATTACCTCAAAACCACTTCCCAATATCTGGAGTACATTATCCAGATGTTAGTGTAAGATACATTCCAGAATGCCACTTTGCAAACCAACGAGACCTTTAGTCCATTCAAAATAAAATATTTTTCATTAAGGAGTAACAAACAATAATAAAGCTAAAAGTGCCTCAGGAAAACATTAGTCAGCATATAAATATTTGTATTACTAAAAGGACATAAACTTCTCTGTTACGATCTCACCCAGAAACCCTGCATAAAAGTTAAGATTTAAGTTGGAAACAACCTTCCCTAGAGGAGAAAATTTTCCTGCCAGAATAACTACATGGTGATAGACCCCCGATTACTAAACGGTACAGTAGGAAAAAGGCTAGGAGTGATGAGTAGGGTAGAGAGGGAATTTTGTATTGTGGGCCCCAGTTTGTTACGGGGTATTTGGACAGTAAAGAGAGTTAGTTATATATCTTCTGCTGGGGGGTTTGGTAGGAGAGATCAGGAGCTCTCAAATCTCCCTCAGCCCTGTAGCTCCTCTAATACATAAATAATAGAAGTAAAGTTCTATCACATGGTTCATCTAACAGTCATCCCAACTATGAAGAAAGAATTACCCCACCAGAAAAGAAAATATTGATGCCAACACTGATTTTTTATGAATCAAGTTTACACATATATCAATGAATTTTTCGAGAAAAATTATGGATAATCACAGAACTTGTAGAAATTATCTGATTTTTTAATGAAACCTATATATGACTAAAAAAATGTAAAAGTACATTTGTATTAACTATTACTCATGAGTCATGTCTATAAATGTATTGACTAATGGGTATTTTGTTTATATTACAAGTTAAATATAAATATTACCAGTTTTAAAGAACTGAGAGAAGTACAATGATGACACCATCCTTTTTTCCTCTTATGATGACAGCTCCCTCGTGAATCTGTTTAGCAATATCCATCTGTTTGAGCCTTGAGGAAGGCATCGGGATTGAATATAAATCACCAAAAGTCTGAAATTTTGGGGATAAACGTAGAGGAGCAGGAGGTAGATCCTTTAACCTCGAAATTTGCTTGCAAGAAGGGCTTTTGGCCAAGTTCCTACATTGGTCTTCCTCTAAATGGGAAGCACAGAACCCTTAGCTTTTGGGACCTTTGATAGAAAAGGTGAAGAAACGCTTACATTCGTGGAAGCACACTTACATTTCCAAAGGAGGAAGGCTCACCCTTTACCAAGCTACCCTCAATAACCTTCCAACATACTACTTATCCTTGTTTTCCATGCCATCTAAGGTAGCTGCTTCCTTAGACAGTATCTTTAGAAGGTTTCTCTGGAAAGGCTCTTCTGAAAATAAGGGTATGCACCTTGTGAAGTGGGATGTTACCTCTCGGCCAATTGAGGAAGGAGGAGTTGGCATCACACAAAACAGAAAAACAGTGTCCTTTTTGCAAAATGTCTTTGGCGATACTCTACGGAGGAGAGTTATTGGTGCAAAATATGGGCTCTCAGAGAGCTTCTATAGACCGGACAATCGATCAATGACAAAGGCTAGGGGCCCTTGGAAATCCAATCCATATTGAAACACCAGAATCAGATTTATGACAGGCTCCTCTACAAGGCTGGCAATGGAAGGAAAATCTCCTTTTGGAAAGACCCATGGCTGTCTGATGAACCCCTCCATAGAAAATTCCCCTTACTTTTCGGTCTCACTATGGAGAAATCTTCTATAATCAAAAGCTTCTGGAATAATGAATATATAAGCTGGAATTTAAAGCTTCATAGGAATCTTAAGGAGGAGGAAATCGAGGAATGGGCTGGCTTATCTCATAATCTATCCAATTTCCAGTTCAATAGTGCTGAGGACTAAATCCATTGGAAATTGGACCCACCAGGAGGTATCTTTACAACAAAATCCCTTTCCAAGGCCCTCTCCCTCCCACATTTGGCCACTTCTCCCTCATCCCTCCTATTTGAAACCATCTGGAAAGACCACTACCCCAAAAGAATCAAGTTCTTTCTCTGAGAATTAAGCCACAGAGCCATCAACACTTGTGATAAGCTTCAAAGAAGATCCCCTCATATTTCAATTTCACCCAATAGGTGCACTATATGCAAGGAAAATGCAGAATCGCACCCACATTTATTTATCACTTGTGCCTTCGCAAGCAGATTTTGGAGCTGTATCCTCTCATTATTTGGATGGAACACTGCCCTTCCAGCTGACCCCCTCAGTTTATGGAAGCCACCCTTGTAGGACACCCCTTCAAACGGGAAAAGCAACTTCTCTGGAAGCATTTTATTAGGGCATTTCTATGGCAATTATGGAGGGAAAGAATCAGCACACCTTCAACAGAAAAGAGCAATCATATGATCGGTTTTTTGAAGATATAGTCTTTTTGGTTATATCCTGGTGTAAATGCTCTCCTCTCTTTCACAGCTATAGCTTTTCAACTCTCTTATTCAGTTGGAAAAGCTTTTTGTAATCCCTCTTATGGGCCACTTTTGTAATCCCTCTTATGGGCCACTCTTGTAATTTCATATATCAATGAAATTGTTTCTTTTCCAATGATAAATAGAAAGATAGAAATAAACAATATAAATAATAATTTGAGTTACATGAAAATAACATAAGGTATATCTTAAAATTAAGATACTTTCTTTTACACAGTAATCGCTGGACGTTCACAAATATGTTGAATATGTCAATGGATAGTCATGAAAATCTATGATATGACAACCAATTTTGGTGGATACTATGCTAATGAACAGACACATAGCTCGAGTACAAATAATTTGGTGAGTATATTGTGGATAACAATGATACTCTCATCTATTTTCCCCACATATATGACTTTTTTTAGATGACGTCAAGGCTCGTTTATGCTCCTAACTTTGATTATTTCTATAAGATAGCCGGATTATCCTACTACAGGAAGCTTGCGAGCTATTTAAATCTTGGGTAGGTGGAGACTATTGTTTGAACTCATGACCCCAAACACATTTGGGTTTTATAACTTGTTCCCTTGACCTTGCACTAACTCACAGTATATGACATATCATGGTTAATGAAATCAAATCCAAAGATTATTCAAGTAATACCTAAATTAGCTAATACTGAAGCCAGAACAGCAAAGATGTTCCATTTTATATAATAAATTAATAATTTCAACCCGTATCAAATAAAGATGGTCACACTTTGAGAAGCTTTCTTAAGAAACCCTCTCAACATAAAATGGAGAGAGAGAGAGAGAGGAGAGAGAATATAGAAATGGATCTATCAATCGTTCCAATACCTTCAGTTTACTTATAGCTCGCAGGCAGTCATCCTCAGATACAGCTTCCCGATCGCTTTTTCGTCTCTGCCGAAGCAAAGTACAGAGTTCTTGTAAACTAATCAAACCTCCATTGTGGGGTCTTGTAGACAAGCAAATGTCAACAATTTGCACTCCTGTCTAGCAAAATAGTTCATTTACAAGAGCGATAAAATTGAGATATATTAGAACAATGACTTGAGCTCGACCATAATAACAATTGAATTTTTATCAATTAGCATACACATCCAGCAAGAAGATAAAGATATATTAGAGCCATGACTTGTGTTCAACCATAATGACAATTTATTCTTGTCAACTGTCAACATCTTTAATCAATAAGCAAAGAAAAAAATGCCTTGACTTTCACATGAGAAACTTGCAATCCTGTACCGCACAGATTACAGGTTAGTTGGAATATCAGTCAGTTTACTTCACACTCCCCCAAGGGTGGAAAATTCCCCGTCCAAGTTCCAAGCCAAAATAAGAATAAAGAGACTATTAAATATAAAAAGAAGAGACTGAGATGACATTTCCCCTAGTTTGCCAACTCAAGAAGAAATCTAAATGAAAATTCCTTGCACAGAAAAAAAGGCATGCGTAATATGTCAAGCGTACGTAACCATGTACACGAAACCAAAGATGTTATACAGATTTCACAGGCCCTCAACTTCAGGCCTAATTTTCCTTCAACCAAAGGAATGTCTTCTGCAATTTGAGAAGAAACAAAGCGCAAAGAATATAAGATGAATAGACAATGAGAGCTCATCAGAAGAACACACCAATCAATAGAGCATCTACCCCTCCAACGTTATAGATAATGCAATCTGATAAGATCAAAACCATACCTACCAATCTCGTAATAGAAATCACCAATGCCTAAGAGCTCTGCCCAAAACCCCTTGTTTGAGGCCAAGGGATCCACTCCAACTTTAGCACACATCTCATGGAACTGTGATCTGAAAGTCGGGTTCTTGCTGATATCTTTCTGCACAAATCAAATTAGTGTCTAGGAGTTCAATTCCATTAGATGGCAAATAAAATGATACTACTTTTCCAAGGGCCAGAAAGGAGAAAACTAAAAACCAGACAATAAATTATCCAACCCGCATTCACTATTTTGAAGCAAGAATAAGCCGTCATTACAAAGTCCAAAGTGCAGTACAATGCTTTCCAACATCAACAAAGCAAGTATTATTTAAATACAAACATAAGAGCAATAGTCTAAAATTCGCAATCACTCTAATAATGTAAAGCAAAATTTCTAATTAAGTAAAGTAGATCTTAGTTCAGACATTCCAGTGGATAACTTAATTCATATCATAAATTCGATGGCAAAATAATAGGGGGGTGTTGTGGGAAGAAAAAAGACCTTGTGCTTGCGAGCGAAATCCTCTAACTGAGATCGAAAGGTGGAGAGCTGTTCCTTCATCATATCGGTTCTGAGCTTCGCAACATTTTCACCCAGCTGGCGGTATTGATCCTACAAATAGTATATCCGGTTAATTGATCGAAAAACACAATCTCAAAAGAAGAACAATAAAACTCATAGAAATCTGAATTGTAATGCAGCCAAATTGATCAAATTCAAAGAAAAAGATTGAGCAGAACCGAACCCTCGCTGCCGCGGCTGTCTGCAAGCCTCCAATGCCAGGTCTCCTCCTCATTTTTCACTTCGATTTCTATGTGTTTCTCCGACCAGATGCCTTGATATTGGACTAATTGGGATCTTCAACGGAGCCGAGAAACCAGAAATGGTCAAGTTTTGGAACAAGAGGAAAATATCAGGGAAAATATCAGGGAAAAATCAATTTTGTTGTTCATACATATACAATTCCAATTTCCGAACGTCAACGTCGATAGAAATTAGAGATGTGGAGTATCGATTTTAAGGACATGTCGATGGATACTTGGAAAAAAGTCACGAAAGTTATAAAAAATAATAAAAATTATTTTAATTAGTAAATAAAACTTTAATAAATAAAATTTTAATTATAACTTAATTAAGATATAATTATTGCTCCTAATCATTACATAAAAATATGAATAACTTATGAAAATGTCGATGTCGATAGAAATGTTGTCACAAGATAATGAAGATTGATGAAAATAATTTTAATTAATAAATTGAAATTTAATGTTACTGTTTGATTGATAATTTATAATAAATCTAATGTTTAGTTACATAATTGAATAAAATATGAAATATTGGTATATATATCCAAATAAACAAATATTATAGGTTTGAGAATTATGTAATTAAATTATAAAAAATTGAAAAGAAATTCAACCAAAATAAAAATAATCCAAACGGTAAAAATTGAAATAAAGGTATAAATTTAAATTTAAATAATAATAATAATAAAATTAAAAGAATTAAAAAAAAAAAAGCATCATCTCCCAACAACCTCATGTCGGAAAGGGATTGAGGGGGCAGCAGAGCGCCTCCTCCACACTTTCTTTTCTCATCAGTGTCATCACATCCAACGTTGGGCCTGTTTATACGGGACTGACGATAGAGTTAATCTTTTTTTAATGATATTTGATAAATATCGTCGAAATATCGATATATTCACGATATTTCGATGATAATATACCGTCAATAAGGGGGGAAAAACGTTATAAACGACATTACACTGTACAATACCCAACGTTTCAACGTGGATGTCGATCTTTCAAATAAGAAAAACTCGAATGTAGTTACAATCTCTAATGTATGATCTTCTAATGCTTCCTCTCGGATGTAAACTTTGATTCGAGGGCTTGTGAGCTTGTTCTCGAATCAATAAGGTTTGTGCCTTCGACTTTTTGCTTTTGAAGGATATTTGGGGTCTTTGACTTTGAGTTCTTGAAGAATATTTGAAGTCTTCAACTTTGGGTTTTTTAAAGAATCTTTGAAGCCTTCAGTTTTGAGCTTGTTGAAGAATCTTTGAAGTATTTGACTTTGAGTTTGTTTAAGTTTTTAGCTTTAAGTAAGTAGCTTGTTGAAGAATCTTTGAAGTCTTCAACTTCGAGCTTGTTGAAGAGTCTTTGAAGTCTTCGGCTTTAAGGTTGTTGAAAATCTTTGAATTCTTCGACTTTGATTTTGTTGAAGATCTTCTTGTAGTCCGATGAAGTTCTTCGGCTTGTCAAAGTTCTACGGTTATGCAGTTTGATGAAGTTCTTCAGCTTGTAGCTTGCGAAGGTTTTCGCCTACATAGCTTAATAAAGTTTTTCGGCTTATAAGCTTGTGAAGAGTTCTTCGACTATGGTGCTTGATGAAGTTCTTCAGCCATATGTAGCTTGATGAAGTTCTTCAGTCTGTTGCTTGTGAAGGGTTCTTCAACTTGTTGCTTGAGAAGATTTCTTCATCTTATTGCTTGTGAAGAGTTTTTCGACTACAGAGCTTGATGAAGTTTGTAGCTTGACCAAGTCTTCAACTTGTTATGTCTAATTCATCCTTATATTTTTTAAAAATTCTAGTAAGCCATTGAATTATCAATTTTAGGTTTTTAACCTTTACTCCATAAATTTAACGCTTATGTCACTAAAAATTATAAAGTTGATTGATTAGATACAAAATTAAAAATTAAGATTCATGAGAAACTTTTTAAAATACATAGACATAACTTTAACCTTCTGTTTGGTATCAAGAAAGTCCAAGAAATGATTTTAAATTTCGTAATTTAAAATCCAAAGAATGATTTTAAATTCTTTATCTTGTTAGGAACAAAAATGATTTGAAATAGATTAAATCAAATTTATTTGTTTATATTTTGTTGGAAAGGAAAAGGAAACAAAAATTATATTGATTTAGGCTTTTAGTATAAATTTATTAATTAGAAATTAAAATATGACAAGGTTAAAAAGATAATTTACTTTGAAATTCTATAAAATCCTGCAAAATCTTACCGGATCCAAAAAATTTGGTAAGATTTAAAATCATTTAAAATCATGAGGTACCAAATAACATAATTCATTTTGTTTGGGGAATGGAATACTCTGGACACGTGGAAGACCCCTATTGGTGCTCCAAGATGACTCATGAATCATGCACAGCTCGGAAGGCCGAGATGGCCGCCACCAACGCCGACAAATGCCAAGTGTGAGGGCCGAGGTGAGCCTGGCCCAGGTCCGACCCGCCGGGGAGCTCGGTATGGGCCGAGGTGCGCAACTGTCTGCGGCGTGATTATCGGGCGTAACCGTCGGTCCCGAGATTACCGGATGTAACCGACGGTCCCGAGATTACCGAATGTAACAGTCGCTAGATTAGCGGGACCACCACCCATAAGTAGGGGACCTCACTCCCCGATCAGGTACGATGATTTCTGGCTTCGAACTAGACTTGGAATCYGACCTATACTGACTTGATCGTCGGAGTGCTCACCTTTTTGTGCAGGTCCGCCCAAGCGTTCAGGTCGGTCCGGAGGCCGGGTTCGAGTTCGAGCTACAACCAGGAACACACTGTTGTGCAAATCTTTGCATAAACACATTTATTTGAAATGCATCATAATTTTGAAATTCCTCCAAATCTGAGGTCACAAACAAAGCATAAAAGTTTACTGTGGTTAGAAATTTCTATAAAAACAAATAATAAATAGGCACAATTTTAATAGTCTTGATACCAAATTTAGAATGGAACAGAAACTAGTATTCCTTTACAAAAGAAAAAAAAAAAGATTTTGTCTCTCCTACCAAACTCTCGTATTTTTAAAATGTTTCTTACGAATTCCAATATAGCTAAATCGATGAGACTATCTATTACCATCTCCAAAGTCGAGATCCCACCCAAAAGATCTAAAAAAATCATAAAATCCGTCCATTCTCTCTACCTTACTAATACAACACGTTTAAATATATATATATACACACACTACATTAAAATGTCAGGATCTTAAGAAAATATTTTAAGTCAAATATATCCTTGTAATATTTAACTAATTACATATTTATCCTTTTAAATCTCTAATAATAATTAAATACATTAGAATAGAATGTATATTTCATGTCTTACCCTCTTAATCAACAATAGTTAGAATCACATGCATTTGCATGTAGTTTCAAATTTTTTAACATATATTTTTTTGGTGAAATTTAAATTTTGAATAAATAAACTTTTTATTGAGTTTAAATATGAAATAGTTTGACGTGAATTAAAAAAAATAAAAAGGGAAAAACTGATAGAGACTATATAGATAATTAGAATTTAATTACATATAATGTAATTCAACCTAAAGTTGTAAAGTAAAATTGTTACTTTATAGGTAATTGTTTGGTCTTTTGTGAATAGTTTGATTTATGAAGAAAATGACAGAAATATATTTAATAATAATTTTATAGGTTAACTTAAAAAAATAATTATATAATAAATTGAACATTGATTAAGGAAGAATCTCTCTATAAACACATTTTTTGTATGTGAGGAGGGACGACTTTGATCATTGTGATTTAATAAGAAAACAACAATCGCTCCTACCTCAATTTAATAAACAAAATATTCAAAATATATCACACTACAAATTAAAAAAATATATATATAAATAAGAAATAAGAAATAGAAAAGTAGTTAAGATTATTAAAACAACAAGAGATAAATATATATATATATATATTTTTTGTAATTTTCATAATCGTCTATCTTTCTATTTTTAATTGGGAATCTGTTGTTCTGACGGAAGATTTTATTGTTTAATTTTTTCTATTTTAGTTGAAGTCCGTGGGAACTTAAAATCATCTATTGGGTTTAGAATTATATCTCCATTTAAATCAACAAAACCTGTTTTTAATAAAAGAAATATAAATATAAAATAAGAAATTCAAAAGTCCAGGAAAACAACAATCAAGCAAATAAATATAAACATTATATTTAATTTTATAAGAATTCAAAAGTAGTTAAAGATCAAGAAGACAACTGTCAATAATCACTCAATTTAGCAAATAAATATAAACATTATATTTAATTTTATAAGAATTCAAAAGTAGTTAAGATCAAGAAAACAGCCGTCAATAATCACTCAATTTAGAAAACAGTACACTCATATATAAAAAATTCACATCAATTTAGAAAATAGAACCCTCACAGTATATCATAATACAAAAATTATTGGTCAAAACTAATCACATCAATTTAGAAATTCAAATTAATTAATAAAAAAGTATAAATATAAAATAAGAAATCCAAAATAGTTAAGATCATGAAAACAACAATCAAACGGGATAAATAAGAACATTAAATATAAATTTTTTACTTTACCTATTCATTGTCTAAAATTATTTTCTGTATTCGCAAATCTTCATTTTGACATGTTCAATGTTTCCCTATGAAAAAAGAAAACTTTTAATTTTCATTATTTTTAGAAATGTTCAAAAGAATAACCTTTGTAGATATTTTGGGAGAAATAAAATAATACAAATTTTGATATATCATGTTCTTTTCTTTTATAAATAGTTTGTAAGGGAATAGACTAATTGTTTGTCTTCACACCTCTAGATCAATGGACACACTGCTTCTCTCAACCGACAACTCATTTATAATAATTTTCAATCACACATATATGTGAATGGATACATTGTTTGTCAAACAGTCACAACTCATTTTTAGATTAATTTCTCTCAGACATCTTGTTTGAACATTCGTCTCTTGTGAAGGGTAAATTGAGTATAAAGTTGAGGGCAAAATGGAGAGGTAAAGATTCTCATCCATAGCCCCATTTAGATGTAGTAGGTAAATTGGGTATATGTTAAAAAGTTCATGGCAAAATGGGAGGTAAATATTCTTCTCCATAGCCTCATTTAGATATAGTATAGATAAACAACTTTGAAAATGATTGAGATTCTAAATGGC